TTCATCCCCCCCCTATAGTAATTCATCCCCCCCCCCTATAGTAATTCATCCCCCCCCTATAGTAATTCATCCCCCCCCTATAGTAAGTCCCCCCTGTGTCAATTTACTTACCTTTGCTCCGCGCGTTCCTCTCGCCGTGCAGGATTGCCCCACAAATCCAGCCCAGGAACATGGTGAATCCAAGCAATTGGTTGTGGTGGAAAAATGGCGGCCAATGAGTCTTTGTTCTGTTACATCTACATCCATTGTGACCCACAACCAGTGTGGGGGAAACACCTTCCACTGTCTATGTGGTCCCTTTTATTTTTGCCACAACCAATCCACATGAGCCGAGCGACACCATCTTGTCAGTGTCCAGTTTGAGTGTTTTTCTGTATTGGGTCGATCGTCCGGTTGGCCATTGGATGTTTGTGTGGGGCATGGGACCGGTGGGGCATGGGACCGGTGGTTCGGTGGGGCATGGGACCGGTGGTTCGGTGGGACATTGATCGTTCATGTAGAACTATAGGCTTTTTTTTTTTCCATTTTGGATAGTAAGGCTGCCCATACATTTATACAATTTTCTTGAGAATTGTGCTGTAGATGTACCAAAAACCAGATAATATGAGGTCCGACCTGAACAACACTCTCAGTTTGTATCCAATCAGGCAGGCCCTTCCGCTACATAGTTGAAGGTAAATCTGAAGGAAATTGGGCAGAAATTATCCTAAGGCAGGGTTATACCCCCTGGCAGTTTGTTTGCCATCTGTGTCCCTGTGGGGAGATTTCCCTTCACTTCCTGTCCCATAGACAACAGGAAGTGATAGGAAATCCCTAAGAAGTAAGGGAATCCCTTTGGGGTCTCCCAGGTCAGCAGAACGAGTGTTCCCTTTGGAAGATTTCCCCTCTTACTGTTCTGGGGACAAAAATGTTAGAATTTTCTTTCACTTTCAGTGATCATGGTAAACAGAACAAATGGGGTGGATCTCCCTAACGTGGGGTGGGGGGGGGGGGGGGGGGGGCACAGCCTGCAATAAAAACTGACAGGGTTCTATTTTCTCCACTCCATCCAAACCTAAAAGAAGAGCTTTACCTTTTGTGATACTTTCAGTTTTATTGCACACAGATTTGGGTTGTTAATGCTCGGACAAGTACAGGTTTTTTTTTTTTTTTTTACCACCCCCCCCCCCCCAATGCTATATTGGCATACTCCTATCCGGACAATCCAGCTGCACCCCTTTAAGAATGAAGCACACACACAAGTCCCGCACCGCCATCTTGTCCTGATGTCATCAGGTGTGGGCTGTCTCTTCCAGGTCTGGAACCCTGATGACGCTGCCCTGTGTTCTGCAGAGCCCTACAATCTTGCAATGGGGGGGAGATCCCAGAGGGTTCAGGCAGGATGGGAAGGGGGGGGGGGTCAACATTCTTTCACTGACTGCCAGCAATCAGTCACTCTGCCTCAACCCAAAAAACTTTTTTTTGAGCTGATTCACATATGCAATGCGGGAAACGCAGCGAATCCTGTGCGTTTCCTGCACCGCATTGGTCGCATTCTGTTCATGTGATCTGCCACCGATGTCAACATTAATGAAGAAAAAAATGTCATCAGCACAGCAAGAAATCCTCAAAGAGTCCGAAGCTTTATTTAATGGTCACATATCAACAGTGGCAATGTTTTGGAGCCACGCAGGGCCCCTTTGTCAGGAAATCACTTGTCTGATGAAGGGGCCCTGCGTGGATCCAAAACGTTGCCACTGTTGATATGTGACCATTAAATAAAGCTTTGGACCCTTTTTGAGGATTCCGTGCTGTGCTGGTGACACTTCTTTCTGGATTGTCCGCTGTTCCCAGCTCGTGGTCACTACAGCACCCAAACACCATTTACAGCCACTTGCAGGAATGTGTGTGTTGGGAAAACGTTAAATCAATAACCCCCCCGAAACAGATTGCAAAATGCAGGGTGAGTGCAAGAATTGGATTGCATGGGTGTGGACACCCTTTGCGATCAGATTCCGGTGCAGTAAGAGGTTCCTGCACCTTTTTCATGCGGTGCGACTTGAGCCCATAGAAAATTAATGGGCCTTAATTGCACTGCAAAGAATCGCATAGGATTTGAACAGGAATGCTGTGAAGTTCCCATCCGAGTCGCATGCAATTTCACGCACTGCATTAGGGCGAATCGAGCCTAAAGGGTTCACGTAAAAAAAAAAAGTGAACAAACACCTTACTCCCTCCCCAGCCCCCCCAGCCCTGTACTTACCACTGTGGGTGATGAGTTGTCAGTGCTCGTGCAGATCGGATATCCCTGCTGTTCTCCCCCTTCTGCTGTGCTTCCGGGACAGACCAGAGTGCTTCTGATTGGTCCGTGCCAGTACAGATCTGTGCCTGAAGTTCTACAGAAAGAGGAAGAAGAGCGGGGAGTTTTATATCCCCGACTGTGTGAGCACCAATATCTCATCACCCACAGGGGTAAGAACAGTGGGAACTGGGGAAGAAGGTACACGGTGGTCACTGCTTAATTTTTCTGAAAGGGTGAGCTGACCTGTTAAATTTGATAAGGTGGGGCCAGCAAGATGGGAAAGACATGCAAAAGTGAAGGCAGCCACTTCCTGATTTCTTACCTTGGCAAAAATGTTTATACCTATCTAGTGGAGATCTCCACCGTTCTGAAATCTTGGCATGCTTCAGCACTTGGGTCTTCTTCACACCTGAGCACCAGACACTCAGTGTACAGGAGCTTCTTTTTCAGGCAGATTTGAGCTTTTTTGGCCCCATATACTTGAGCGGGAACGCTTGGTTGCAGGGGTGAAGAGCGTTAATGGGAACACTTACAGAACATGCATAACGTGATTATGTCTAGTGGTGCACCGAAATGAAAATTCTGGTACCGAAACCGAAAATTCAAACTGCATTTGGCCGAAAACCGAAACGTGCAGTTTTTAAAAATGAATACATATTTTTTGGGAAAAATACACGGATTTAAAAAAAATAAAATAAAATATATACACACACACACCCATTTTTTTTGTAAAATATGAAAGAGGATGTTACGGCCAGTAAATAGATACCAAACATGTCGCGCTTTAAAATTGCACATGCTCCTGAAATGGTCTGAAACTGCTGTACTTAAAAAAATCTCCACGGGTGATGCTTTAAAAATTTCTACAGGTTACCAGTGTAAAGTTACAGAGGAGGTCTAGTGTGAAAATTATTCCTCTTGCTCTGACGTTCGCGGCGATACCTCATGTGTGTAATTTGAACACCGTTTACATATGTGGATATGGCCTACTAATGCGTTCACCACTACGTACGAGCACAGGGGGGACGGGGGCACTTTAAACTTTTTTTAAAAAATGTATTTAATGGTCTTTTGTTGTAGTTTTTTTTTTTTTTTTTTGCACTGTTCCTTTTAAAAAAAAAAAAAAAAATGGAATTACTTTTATTATCACAAGGAATGCATTCATCCCTTGTAGTAGAAATAATTAGTGACAGGTCCTCTTTATGGAGAGATGTGGGGTCAGTGAGACCCCATATCTCTCCTCTGCAATGTAAAGCATTGGGTCCAAATAAAGCATTGATCTAGTGCAGCAATGGGCAAACTACGGCCCGCGGGCCGTATACGGCCTGGCGGACCTTTTAATCCGGCCCGCGGAGCTAGGCTCCTCTCACAGTCCACCCTGAAGACCGGTGTAGCATGAAAATCTGTCTCCTATGAGGATCTGTCCCCCTTGACGTATCTGCGCATGTGCCGGAGATCGCCGATCGGCTGCTAATGCCTGAAACTGGCACATGCGCAGATACGTCGAGGGGGACAGATCCTCATAGGAGACAGATTTTCATGCTACACCGGAACGGCGCGGTAACACGGCGAGAGGAACGCGCAGAGCAAAGGTAAGTGAATTGACACGGGGGACTTAGGGATTCAATATGGGGGATGAATTGCTATATGGGGGATGAATTGCTATATGGGGGATGAATTACTATATGGGGGATGAATTACTATGGGAGATGAATTACTATATGGGGGATGAATTACTATGCTTACTATGGGGGAATATTACTATACTTACTATGGATGACACATACACATCATTCATCTACTCTTGGTCCGGCCCCCGGGTCCAATATATGAACCCATTGCGGCCCTCAAGTCAAAGTTTGCCCACCCCTGATCTAGTGCTTTAAAAAAAAAAAAAAAAAAATGGCCGGAACGGGAAGTGACATCGCTCCGGTTCTCCAAGGTCATAGAGATGAGTGGCGGCCATCTTTCCTTCACTCATCTCTATGCCCAGCGCCGGGATTGATTGGTTTCTCAGGTAAGGCTGAACTACCGAGTGGAGGCGAGGGGCGGGGTTTTTTTGGTACCTTTTTTTTCATTTCGGCCAACGGCCGAAAGGTGTTTTTGGCTGAAAATTTTCAGCCACTGAAGTTTCGGTGCATCCCTAATTGTCTGACTGAGGCTTAGTAGATGGGCCAGAAAAATTCCTGATCCCACTCGGCACATTGCTCCTAAAATGTTTAAAGAACAAAATCGTCATGTAGAATCACCGGAGTAGACTGCCGCAGTGTGAATGTTGCCTCCTGGGATCCCAAGAGGTTTGCAGAAGGCATGTCACCATCTCCTGGGGTGGGGGACAAGCTATTTACAGCTCGGTAAACCTAAAAATGTGTAATGGAGAGGAAGGAGGGAATGGACAGAATGACAAATGGTGGGGGGGTCCCTTTTTTTAAGAACTGGTTTGTGACCCCCGTTACCCTAAATGGGGATATTTTACCTTCTGTCCCTGTGACACCTGTACAGGAAATCGGGGTAAGAGGTTGTCATGGCACAGGAAAGCATGGTGAGCAAAAGTAAAAAATTCACACTCTTCCTCAGTCTTCCGTATCGGGAAATCTCCCATCTCACCCTGGCGGGTTCTAACCCTTCCACAGAAGAAGTGATCCTAAAGAGTCGAGTGATTTGGATCATCTAGAACTCTGGCGGTAATCTCTTTGCATTGTCTCTTCTATTGCAGCAAATGGCGGACGACGCCGGTGCTAACAGGGGAGGTTTTCGGGGGGGCTTCGGCAGTGGAGGCCGGGGTCGCGGACGTGGAAGAGGCAGGGGCCGCGGAAGAGGACGTGGAGCCCGCGGGGGGAAAGCCGATGACAAGGAAGTGAGTAGAGATCTGGTAGCTGTTGGCTGATTTCAGGGGGGTGTATTGATTGCTGCATCTTGACTGTCCTTTGTTGTACAGTGGGTTCCCGTCACCAAACTCGGCCGCCTGGTCAAAGACATGAAGATCAAGTCCCTGGAGGAGATCTACCTCTTCTCCCTGCCTATTAAGGTAAAGATTCCTGATCTGTTGGGGTCTATCGCTGGGACTTCAGCACACTCACAGCAGCTCTGCCTATAGCCTACTACTTTAATTTTAGAGTGGGGAGGGATTAGAACACCTGATTTGGGTTTTTTTTGTTTTCTTTGCGTGTGCGTTTCTTGTTTTTCTTTGCGTGCGTTTCTTGTTTTCTTTGTGTGTGCGTTTCTTGTTTTCTTTGCGTGTGCGTTTCTTGTTTTCTTTGCGTGTGCGTTTCTTGTTTTCTTTGCGTGCGTTTCTTGTTTTCTTTGTGTGTGCGTTTCTTGTTTTCTTTGTGTGTGCGTTTCTTGTTTTCTTTGTGTGTGCGTTTCTTGTTTTCTTTGCGTGTGCGTTTCTTGTTTTCTTTGCGTGTGCGTTGTTTGTTTTCTTTGCGTGTGCGTTGTTTGTTTTCTTTGCGTGTGCGTTGTTTGTTTTCTTTGCGTGTGCGTTGTTTGTTTTCTTTGCGTGTGCGTTGTTTGTTTTCTTTGCGTGTGCGTTGTTTGTTTTCTTTGCGTGTGCGTTTTGTTTGTTTTCTTTGCGTGTGCGTTGTTTGTTTTCTTTGCGTGTGCGTTGTTTGTTTTCTTTGCGTGTGCGTTGTTTGTTTTCTTTGCGTGTGCGTTGTTTGTTTTCTTTGCGTGTGCGTTGTTTGTTTTCTTTGCGTGTGCGTTGTTTGTTTTCTTTGCGTGTGCGTTGTTTGTTTTCTTTGCGTGTGCGTTGTTTGTTTTCTTTGCGTGTGCGTTGTTTGTTTTCTTTGCGTGTGCGTTGTTTGTTTTCTTTGCGTGTGCGTTGTTTGTTTTCTTTGCGTGTGCGTTGTTTGTTTTCTTTGCGTGTGCGTTGTTTGTTTTCTTTGCGTGTGCGTTGTTTGTTTTCTTGCGTTGTTTGTTTTCGTGTGCGTTTCTTGTTTTCTTTGCGTGTGCGTTTCTTGTTTTCTTTGCGTGTGCGTTTCTTGTTTTCTTTGCGTGTGCGTTTCTTGTTTTCTTTGCGTGTGCGTTTCTTGTTTTCTTTGCGTGTGCGTTTCTTGTTTTCTTTGCGTGTGCGTTTCTTGTTTTCTTTGCGTGTGCGTTTCTTGTTTTCTTTGCGTGTGCGTTTCTTGTTTTCTTTGCGTGTGCGTTTCTTGTTTTCTTTGCGTGTGCGTTTGTTTTCTTTGCGTGTGCGTTTGTTTTCTTTGCGTGTGCGTTTGTTTTCTTTGCGTGTGCGTTTGTTTTCTTTGCGTGTGCGTTTGCGTGTGCGTTTGTTTTCTTTGCGTGTGCGTTTGCGTGTGCGTTTGTTTTCTTTGCGTGTGCGTTTGCGTGTGCGTTTGTTTTTGCTTTGCGTGTTTGCGTTTTCTTTGCGTGTGCGTTTGCGTGTGCGTTTCTTTGCGTGTGCGTTTGTTTTTTTTTGCGTGTGCGTTTCTTTTTTCTTTTTTTTTTTCGTTAGTGTGTGTGTGTGTGTGTGTGTGTTTTCTTCCAAGGTAATGTCCATATTTCATTCTACTACTCTGGAGGTCTCTCAGCTCTGCTCAGTTGCACGTTTCGGAGTTGTGTGATTGTCGTTACAAGAGAGACATAGCAATGAGCTCCGTATGCACGGCAGGTCGACCTCTCGCAGTGGTCTACCTGTTCCTGTTTTGAAGCTCAACATAGATGACCATGATGTTAGAGGTGATCTGGGTAATGTCAGTGCAAAGTGATGTGTGCCATAGTCATCACATTTAGGTGTGTAAGAACTGAATCACTTCTCCAAATAAGTGTGACTTAGGTTTTTGGGGGGTGTTTTTGTGTTGTGTTTTTTTTTTTTTTTTTTTGTGTGTTTTTTTGTGTGTGTTTTCTGTGTGCGTTTTGGTTTTTCTTCTTTTTTTTTTTTTTTTTTTGTGTTTTTTTCAGTCATTACAAGAATTTTTTGTCTTGACTGTTCTCACTGACAGTGAATGAAGATCCCAAATTTTGAGTGGGCACCAGAACAGGAAAAGAGGGGAAACCATTCAGTGGTGACACCAGTTCCAGTGATGACCAGAGATTTAGATATTTCCTCATTTCCTGTTTTGTCTATGGGACATAAAGTGAAGGAAAGTCTCCCTGGTGGGATACAGATGGCAAATAAACTCACAGGGGTTTAACCTTCTTACCAAGTTTTGCCTTCAGTTTCCCTTTTTGCTACCACTGATATATGGCAGGATGGGGGGAGGGGGGGTGTACACACTCGTGCTGTAATGTGTGTAAATCTGACAGCCAGTTTGGTGGCAGCGATTGGGCAGCTGTACAGCCCCCCACCACCCTTTTTGAACCAGGTACTTTGGAGTATGGAGGAAGTGAGACCATTATACTGTTCCCACGATCCTTGCAGTACTGTAGTGCATAGTCACTGAGCCTGAACACCATTATATGGGACAAGGGAGAGGGGAATTATGGGTGCTTCCATTGCTGGTTCCCCCTTTTTAATCCTTTGCAACAATGACCAAGGAGATGTGTGCAGATCTTTTCAGTTCTGACTCTTGATTGTTCTTGGTTTGTAAACCCAATATATTGATTCTAGGAGTTTGCATAGTAGTGAGGCACTTTGAGGAATCTTGACCTAATCTTGCAACAGGTTTCACCTAAAAGTAGAGGTCTCCAGATCTGGAGAAACAGTCCATTTCTTCACTTTTTTTTCATTTAAAGTTTCTTTCCTCCTATAGGAGTCTGAGATCATTGACTTCTTCCTGGGCTCCTCTCTGAAAGATGAGGTCTTGAAGATCATGCCTGTGCAGAAACAGACCCGTGCCGGACAGCGGACAAGGTTCAAGGTGGGTTTCACGCTCCAGGCTCGCTGCCTTTGTTGGCTGGGTGCAGTGTGTTCCTGTAGCCTTCAGTCAGCTTAAAGTCTGAACTCCGATCAACCAATCCCCAAGACCCTGCATTCACTATATGTGGTCTCCCCGGACCCTGCATTTCACTATATGTGGTCTCCCCGGACCCTGCATTCACTATATGTGGTCTCCCCGGACCCTGCATTCACTATATGTGGTCTCCCCGGACCCTGCATTCACTATATGTGGTCTCCCCGGACCCTGCATTCACTATATCTGGTCTACCTTTTACTCATCAGCAGTTAGAGCAGTCTTGTGACTTCTATCAGTGTCCAGCAGAGCACTGGTTAAAGCTTGTAGGAGAAGTTTTTATTCTGTAGGAGAATGCAGAACCCCTGACCTCTGTCTGGAGAGTGCCGATTGGCCCTGTGCTGATCACATGCAATCTCCCAAGAAGGGGGGAAATCTCCAGCAATACACACCAAACTAAGTAATTGCAGCTTGCCCCTGAGCCTCTGTTCTGTCAGATATTTAGTAGACACTGGAAGGGGAGGATCAGAAAAGACCGGATCAAACATGCTTTTACACACCGTGTAGGATTAACCCCTTAGGTTCCACAGTGAGTATAACAAGTATGCTTTACTGCATATACAGACTTTTACTGTTGTGGGTTTATTAACACTTTAATCATTCCTTGCTGGATCTGAAATGGAGAAGGGGAACACAAGCGTTGGTGTTGATTGGCTCCCGTAGGAGACGTTTAACAGCAGATAATGTTTCATATTTTGATTTTCAGGCTTTTGTGGCCATTGGAGACTACAACGGCCATGTTGGTCTGGGTGTGAAATGCTCCAAGGAAGTTGCCACTGCTATCCGTGGTGCCATCATTCTGGCTAAGCTGTCCATCGTGCCTGTCCGCAGAGGCTACTGGGGTAACAAGATCGGCAAGCCACACACTGTGCCCTGCAAGGTAATGTCAATATTTATTCTACTACTCTGGAGGTCTCTCAGCTCTGCTCAGTTGCACGTTTCGGAGTTGTGTGATTGTCGTTACAAGAGAGACATAGCAATGAGCTCCGTATGCACGGCAGGTCGACCTCTCGCAGTGGTCTACCTGTTCCTGTTTTGAAGCTCAACATAGATGACCATGATGTTAGAGGTGATCTGGGTAATGTCAGTGCAAAGTGATGTGTGCCATAGTCATCACATTTAGGTGTGTAAGAACTGAATCACTTCTCCAAATAAGTGTGACTTAAAGCAGAGCTCCACCCAAAAGGGGAAGTACCGCTTTAAGGACTGCTCCCCGTTAAGGATTGACACCTTTGGGGGGCAGGGGGGAGCCGGTACCCGAATTTGACAGGGACCCTCTTCCACTTCCGGTCCAATCGCCTAGCGGAAGGTGTCCTCCCTCCCTGTAGTCTTTTGGGACACGTGACAGGTCCCAGAAGACTACAGGACCATTCATGAAGCGCAGCGCTACTCACGCATGCGCAGTGGGTACCCGTCTGTGAAGCTGCAAGGTGTCACAGCCGGGTGCCCACTCTGAAGATGCCAGCCTCCTGGAATACAGGACGGCCGATGAAACTGGCTGCAGGGGACACACCACAGGACCGCGGGACAGGTAAAGGGCTGTTTTTTAAAAGTCAGCAGCTACAGTTTTTGTAGCTGCTGACTTTTAATTTTGACAGGGTGAGTGGAACTCCGCTTTAAGAATCTTTGCACAATAATGTGTGAATTTGTACTTTAATTATTCAGCCATGTGAAGAGTAAATTCCTGTTTACTTTTATCATATGCCCATTATTAGGTATGAGGATTGAAGCAGCAAGAATCTGCTTTTCACATGACCAGATAATTGAAGTGAACCCTCCTATTCCTTCTGTACTGAAATGAATTGTAATTGTACTGTCTCTCTTATATTGTAAAGTGCTGAGCAAACTGTTGGCTCTATATAAATCCTGTATAATAATATATAAATCCTGTATAATAATAATATATAAATCCTGTATAATAATATATAAAAATCCTGTATAATATATAAATCCTGTATAATAATATATAAATCCTGTATAATAATAATATTATTATACAGGATTTATATATTATTATTATTATACAGGATTTATATATTATTTATTATTATTATACAGGATTTATATATTATTATATTATACAGGATTTATTTATTATTATTATTATTATACAGGATTTATTTATTATTATTATTATACAGGATTTATTTTATTATTATTATTATACAGGATTTATATAATAATAATAATATAAATCCTGTATAATAATAATAATATATAAATCCTGTATAATAATATATAAATCCTGTATAATAATAATAATAATATTCATAGTTTATAGTGTGACAATTCTTAGCTTCTTTATTAAATTTTAAAAAAATGTAATTTTTTTTTTTTTTTTTCTTTCTGCAGGTGACAGGTCGTTGTGGTTCTGTACTGGTACGTCTGATCCCAGCTCCCAGAGGTACTGGCATTGTCTCAGCTCCTGTTCCCAAGAAGCTGCTGATGATGGCTGGTATTGATGACTGCTACACCTCAGCTAGGGGCTGCACTGCCACTCTAGGCAACTTTGGTAAGTAGGTATTTTTGGTAGAAATACATTTTGGTGGCAAAAGACCGCATTTAAAGCCAAACCAAACTTTTGTTGATGTGGATGAGCATACCTGCACATGGCACTTACCAACCAGGATCTGGTCACTGGCTTGTCCCCCTGCCACTATTACTGCTGCTTCTTCAAGGTTCTGCAGTGAATGCTCTTCAGCCACTGGACACGCTGGAGTTGCTGTACTGCCACTATAGAGAAGGCGACGATGGCAGGACAAGTGCAAAATCTGTAGAAGGTTTCATTAAAAATGGCAGTCCCCATTCCCAAACTTCCTAAGTGGCACAGCCGTCCTTTCCCAGTCAGTGACCAGTACAATCGACAGATGTCATAATTGCTGGAAAGCCAAAAATTTTCAGTTGAGACCAGAGAAGCAAGGAAAAAAACCTTCCAAATGACATTTGTTCTGCAATAACTCTTTAGGATAATTTTTTATTTCAATTTGGAAAAACTTCCTGTTGTGACTCCAGGACAGTAAGTGAAGGAAAAATTCCCTAGCACACGGGTGTCAAACTAGCGGCCCTCCAACTGTTTCCAAACTACAAGTCCCATGAGGCATTGCAAGATTGACACAAGCATGACACCGAAAGGCAGAGGCATGATGGGACTTTAGCAACAGCTGGAGGGCCGCCAGATTGCTGCCATGTCTTGCTAGGGCAGGGATGTCAAATAGGGTTGTGAAGGGTTAAAACTTTGTAAAGATTTTACTGATGTACACCTTATGTCGGCCCACCACAAATATTTGTGGTTCAGGTTCTGCTGAATCAGGATCTACATATAGTCAACTTAAAGCAGAAATTCGCCCAAAAGTTCTGCTGCTTTTCCTCCACCTATACAACTTTTGGACACAGATCTTTTTTTTTTTTTTTTTTTTTTTTTTTTTTTTTGGGGGGGGGAGTAGGGTACTGGTTTTGACAGGTACCTGCTCCCACTTCCACGTGGATCGCCTCCAGCTTTCTGGGACACATCACAGGTCCCAGAGAGCTACGGGACCATTCACAAAGCATAGCGCACCTAGAGCATGTGCAATGTAAAGCTGCTAAGAGTCAGCCGGCTTCCATCAGTTAACATGCTGATGCTGGGTGAGGACAGTGCTGAGCCCCCTGGTCCTTTCTATGAAGATCCTGTTTTTGATGCAAGAAAGTTTTAAAGCCTTGTTGCGATGTATAATTTCAATGAATGTAGGTTAGGTGGCCTGATCTACTTATTCCCAAAAGTTTAACTTTTTTTTTTTTTTTTTTTTTTTTTTATGGGAATAATTTGTATACTGGAAGAATAAAAGTTCCTTTACACTATAGACTGGTGGTTGTATGGTGCCGGCTTTCTTGGATGTACATGGCAGACTGCTGTGTAAGATCTCTCATCAATTCTGCAAATTGTATTTATTTACTTTTTTTCTCTCCACACAATACAGCTAAAGCCACCTTTGATGCCATCTCAAAGACCTATAGCTATCTGACTCCTGATCTCTGGAAGGAAACCATCTTCACCAAGTCCCCCTACCAGGTAAATTGTGTGGCTGTCGAGTTTACAGTTGCTGGCGGAAGTTTATCCAAAACTATTTAAAACGGGAACTAAACCCGGTTATCATTTTCAGCCAAGGAAGCTGCCATCTAAGGCCTCATTTACACAATGTGCAGAGACCTGAGATGTTCTGCAGGTGCACAAAAAACAGCTCTGTGTGCCCTGTACACACAACACTAGTATCAAGTGCAGATTTTTTTTTTTTTTTTCTGCACAGAATCTGCAATGTGTATAAAACTCATTGAAATGCACATGAAAACTGAAAGCTCTGATGTCAGTTTTCATGTGCATGTCAGTTTTCATTTTTTTTCTGCATGTAATGAAGCCTTAGCCTCTGTTCAATTGCCATGAATCCTGCACATGTGAACAGCCATTTGATTCTCGGTTTGGTTGAGAGCACATGCAAATGTGTGGGGAATGTAACCACGTGTGGTGTGGGGTTTGGGGTTTTTTTTTTTTTTTTTTTTTTGTGTTTTTTTGGTTTTTTTTTGTGTTTGGTTTTATTTTTTGTTTTCGTTTTTTTTTTGTTATGGCAGCTGTTTGTTGTACCAAACGTGCACAAATTAGTGGTAACAAGCAGTAATAGTACCTCTAGTGTGCTTTCATCTGTATGTGATTTACTTTAATGAATGGCTTAAGTGAAGCTCACCGCCTATATTGTATGTGGAATGAATGGTGAACTCATTGTGGTTTCTCTCCAGGAGTACACTGACCATCTTGCAAAGACGCACACCAGAGTGTCTGTGCAGAGGACCCAGGCTGCTGCTGTTCCTGCCACCTCCTAAATATCCTGTCAAAGAAAATAAAGAACAAGGTTTTCACCTTTCAGAGTTGTGTGGACTTTTACTCTTCAGGGTTCTGTTCCTCATCTTCCCTGCCTTGGAGGAGTTTGTCAGAGCTGATATCTTTGCCAGCTGTATTTAAATAAAAAAAAAAAAACAAATCTAAAAAAAGCTGGGTGTAACAGAAGAAATGTTTAAAAAAAAAAAAAAAAGTGTACAAGTAAATATAAATTATATACTTTCCTATCTATTTATAATGCTAATAGCATTCAAAATGGGCAATGTTGGCAGGGTAAAGTTCCACTTTAAGTCCTCATGCATACGGGCCATTTTTATAGCGGCTGTTTTTGGCTTTTGCCATTTTTTTTCTACAGCCAGTAAACCCTCCAGCATGTTATCCCCATCCCCGCGTGTTATCCTGCGTGCCCATCCCCGGCGTGTTATCCTGCGTGCCCATCCCTGGCGTGTTATCCTATGTGTCCATCCCCGGCGTGTTATCCTGCGTGCCCATCCCCGGCGTGTTATCCTATGTGTCCATGCACACATAGACTGGAAACAACGTTTTTGGCTGGAAAAAAACAAACCCAGGACTAGTGTGTTTCTAGGAGTCTTTTTAGCTGTAAAAAAACGCTCTAATGCTGAAATATGCAGTAAAATGCTGCAAACCAGTGTTTTTAGACTTAATTTTTTGGTAAAAAAAAATGCGCTAAACGAAGCTGGAAAAACTCATGTTTTTAACACAGCTAACGTTACCAGCGTTATCAAAATGTCCCGTGTGCGTGGAGCCTTAGGCCTACCCAGAGGAGAAGAGGGCTATGACTTGTTAGGAGGGAGCTGGGCAGTTGGAGTAGTCAAATTTTCTAGCAAGTTCAGAGTGCAATTACTGGAAAATGATTGACAGTTTGCATTCAGGGCCAATCATTTGCAGGTATTTGCTTCATGAGTGATTTTACATGTGAACCGCTGTGATTGGCTGCAGGATCTGTCCACCTCTTGTTGCTTGCAGTGGGGTTGCCACCTGCAGCTAATAGCTGGGTATCCCTGCTGGGTCCTGAATGTAATTCCGAATGACCTTATTTTAAAGTGTGAATGGGGCCTTACATTACCCAGAAGAATGAAAACCTTGGCGACGGTGCCTCCCAGCCCTTTAAGGGTTTCAGGATGCAGGGTGGGGTTTAGAGTCATGTGACCATCGTGATGGCACATGATCGGGAAAGGTCCCGATCGAAAGAGGAGTTTGGGACCTTTCCGTGAGTACCGGACATGTGTGCTCTAAGCACGTCCTTCTTTTTTTTTTTTTTTTTTTTTTAAAATGTGGACAGAGCCTGACATTGACAACATTCCTGCCTCCCACCTGGGAGAGCCTTCCAATACCCCCCCATGATGGAGAGAGAGAGACGCTCATCTTCACAGCTCCGACATCCCTGGGAACAAGTGTCAGGCTCTACATACACAATCAAGCAGCTCGCAGCCTCTCTTGGATCCCACCTGGTTCCTATGGCGTGTTTCCCCTTCTTTCGTCTCTTCTGGAAGGGGGGGGGGGGGGGAGGTATTGTCCCCTCTGGGAAATGCTGTCCTAGGCAAGTGCCTTGTTGTAAATACACCCCTGCTAGCAATTGCTTAATTTTATATCAGATTAGTGCATATAAATAATGGAGCATCCTTTAGTAAGAGTTCATCTCAGACTTAAAGGAGATCTGTGATCACATTTTATAACATTGTAATACACACACTAGTTATTTGACAATCCAATAGAAGTTCATTTGAAAAATCTCCTTTCATGTTGTAAGTGCTAGCCTGTGTTGGCAATGGAGGAAAGCATTGCAATAGCTGGGATAAAGAGATAAAGTAGTGAATGAGTAGGTTGGTAAAGAAGGATCACATTTTTAAAACTATATATAAGTATAGAACCAGCGCCACGGAAATTGTATAAGACAACAGCAAGCTGCAGAACCTAGCCTATAAACTCACAGGATATACAAAACAGCAAAAAATAGGTTGTGCTTAAATTCATACAAAAGTGTAACAAAAAATGTGACCACACAATATTTTAAATCAAAATGAAATCCAGCAAAGAAGAAAGTTCAAAAAATCAATAATGTCCAAAATAAACACCAAGTGAATCCACCACCAGAAATGGTTGAATAAAACTCACCGGAGTAATATGCTGATTGTTGAAAAAACCAGCATATAGCACTTGTTCTGGGAGCAATAATTAATAATTAATCGTGACAACAACACTGAAGAAATGAGGGATGAACTCCCAACAGATGATGATCTGCAAAGCTGAAAATCCACTCCAAAAGGTGATTTAGTATCCAAACTAAGAGATGATCAGACCTTCACCCGAAAGAAAAAAGTGACAATCATGGTGCAGTATGTTTTAAACAAAGTTTAATGAAGAAATGCACTTACAAGCAAGGTGTCCAGACTGACACCAGTATAGACAGCGTGTAATGAATACAAGCGACTCACGCAGCTAAACGTGCACATGCAACGCCTTTGGATGTGACGTTCAGCACACTCCTGGTCTGCTTGCACGTTGCATGTGAGTGTTTAGCTGAGTCTGAGTCCCTTGTATTCATTACACATGTCTATACTGGTGTCAGTCTGGACACCTTGCTTGTAAGTGCATTTCTTCATTAAACTTTGATGTTTTTTAAAACATACTGCACCATGATTGTTCGCTTTTTTTTTTTCTTTCGAGTGACGGTCTGATCATCTGTTTGGATACTAAATCAACAGATGATCTGCAAAGCTGAAAATCCACTCCAAAAAGGTGATTTAGTATCCAAACTGAGATGATCAGACCGTCACTCGAAAGAAAAAAAAGTGACCAATCATGGTGCAGTATGTTTTAAAAAACATCAAACTTTAATGAAGAAATGCACTTACAAGCAAGGTGTCCAGACTGACACCAATATAGACATGTGTAATGAATACAGGCGACTCAGACCCAGCTAAACCTGCACATGCAACGTGCAAGCAGACCAGGAATGTGCTGAACGTCACATCCAAAGGCGTTGCATGTGCATGTTTGGCTGGGTCTGAGTCGCTTGTATTCATTACACGTGTCTATACTGGTCAGTCTGGACACCTTGCTTGTAAGTGCATTTCTTCATTAAAGTTTGATGTTTTTTAAAACATACTGCACCATGATTGGTCACTTTTTTTCTTTCGAGTGACGGTCTGATCATCTCAGTTTGGATACTAAATCACCTTTTTTGGAGTGGATTTTCTACTTTGCAGATCATCATCTGTTGGAGTTCATCCCTCATTTTTTCAGTGTTTGTTGTCACCATATTATTCATTTCTCCCAGAGTAACAAGTACCATATGCTGTTTTTTTTTTCAACAATCAGCATATTACTCTGGTGAGTTTTATTTAACCATTTCTGGTGGTGGATTCACTTGGTGATTAATTATTTTGAACATTATATTGATTATTTGGACTTGTTCTTCTTTGCTGGATTTCATTTTGATTTAAAATATTGTTTTTTTATTGTCACATTTTTTGTTACACTTTTGTATGTATTTAAGCGCAACCTATTTTTTTTGACATTTTTAAAACTGACAGGGATCATAACCATTCTCTACTCAGAAATAAAGTTTTGGCTTTATGTGCACTTTAACCCCTTGCCTACTGGGCACTTCTACCCCCCTTCCTGCTCAGGCCAATTTTCAACTTTCAGCGCTGTGGCACTTTGACAATTGCATGGGTCATGCAACACTATACCCATATAAAATTATCTTTTTTTTTTTTTTTTTTTCACACAAATAGAGCATTCTTTTGGTGGTATTTAATCACGGTGGGTGTTTTTTTTTTTTTTTTTTTTTGCAGTCAAAAAAAAAAAAGGAAAAAATGTGAACAAAAAAGTTTCTTTGCTTCTATTATAAAATTTTGCAAACAGGTCATTTTTCTCCATCACTGATATGCGGTGATATGGCTGCACTGATGAGGTGGCACAGATAGGCAGCACTGATGATGCTACACTGATAGGTGGCACTGCTGGCCAGCCCTGATGGGCACAGGTGCACACAGTTGGGGGAGCGTGTTCTGGAATGACGTCATCCCAGAACTAGACAACGGCACTGTAGCCGTCCTTTAGCTATAGCGCGGTTGGGAACTGGTTCATAAGATTTGCATTAGTTGAACCCATAAAACCTAAGCATCAATCTTAGCTGACGAGTACATTTTCCATGTCAGGTCTCCCATACAGAAGGACACCACCACCTTTACTATTTAATGGTTAGCACTTCCACCTGGCAGTACTGGGGTCATTGGTTCGAATCCCAACCATGGCACCACCTGCCTGGAGTTTGCATGTTCTCCCTGTGCAGGTTTCCTCTGGGTACTCCGGTTTCCTCCCACACTCCAAAGACATGCTGGTAGGTGAATTGGCTCCTGTCTAAATTGTCCCTAGTATGTGTATGTAGGATTGTAAGTTAGGGACCTTAGATTGTACACCCCTTGAGGGTTAGGGACCTTAGATTGTACACCCCTTGAGGGTTAGGGACTGATGTGAATGTACAATATATACGTAAAGTGCTGTGTAAATTGAGGGCGATATATAAGTACCTGAAATAAATAAATACCCTAACCCACTGAAAGAGCATATCAAAGGAAATAGCTTTAGCACAATTCGAACCCAGTAATTCTCCATCCATCTCTCCCGTGGTTTTTTTGGGCTTGGCAGGCTTTCAGCAGTCGTGTACAGACCGCTTGGGCATACAGGTCAATGTGACAGGATCAGGGGCGGACTGACCATTTGGAAACTCTGGCACTGCCCGAGGGCCCCGGGGTCAGTAGGGGGCCCCATGAGATGCCTTTGATACCTTTTTCATAGACTTTTTTGAGTTTGGGCAAGGACACAGGGGCCCCATGATCCCCTATTGCCCGGGGGCCCCATGAGTTGTCAGTCCACCCCTGGACAGGATCACTTTAAAACTGACCACCCAACTCAGCTATACTTACTTTCACATTGCTCCCCCCCACCACTCTTGTTGTAGCCACCATGAAAATACCCAGTGTTTCTAGGATCGGGGGGAGTAATGTGCTATCCCATGAAGTAGTGTACTGGCCTAGCACTGTCATATGAGGGAAGTGGGTGACATCACACCAAGTAAACTAAGGCCAGTTCACACTACAAATATGCACTCCAGATATGCTTTTGCTTACAGTTCACACCACACGCAGTTCCCGTGCCGTTTTGATGCAGTTTGCCATGTTCCAGTACGGTGCTGTGCAGAAAAAAAAATGCAGCATGTTCTAATTTTTAGGAAACTTGACTGCACTAGTGTGAACCAGGACCATTGGAATACACGGAAGAACACGGTGGATGGATTTTTGATGCAGAAAAAAAAGCACATTAAACTGTATCTAGTGTGAACTAGCCCTAACACCAGGTATTTTGTGGCAGCTGCGATGGAGCAGCGATGTGAAACATGCGAGTGTTGAGTTTACAGAGACCCTGTAACTTTGCCCTGAATGAACAAGATGATAAAATCTAAAAATGACCGTTGGATTTTGCACACAGATTTAGAATATATTTTCTTGCAGAGTCTGAGGCGCATTCTGGATTTGTGATGAAAATTATAAAAACCCATTTTTAGCGATAAAATATTGTAATTTTTACTTCTCCTAAGCTTCTCCCATCCTATGGAACTCTCTACCCCAATCTGTCTGGCTGTTTCCTAATCTATCCACCTTTAGACGATCACTGAAAACCTTTCTCTTTAAAGAAGCCTATCCTGCTTCTACCTAGTAAACTGCCATTTATTTCCTCTATCATATCATCCCCCCACAGCTATTACCTTTTGTATCACTCAACCCTTCCTCCTAGATTGTAAGCTCTGATGATCCGGGCCCTCTGCTTCCTCTTGTACCAAATTGTTATTGTAACTGGAATGTCTTTCATTTTGTAAAGCGCTGCGCAAAACTGTTGGCGCGATATAAATCCTGTATAATAATAATAACACTCTGTCAAATACCAAAGGGCTGCTATCCAATTCCAGTATTATGTAGGTGTAGACCTCAGAAATCATATTGCACAATTATCCACGGTTTCATTTTTGTTTGAGATGTGTGATACCCCAATAGAAATAAATAAAAAAAGCCCAGTGTTCTAGACATCTAACCCCCCCGGTTCACATCTCTGCGGGTGGTGCCGCTGCGAATCCACACGAAAAACTGTGCAGCCGCACTACCCGCACAGAGGAATGCGGACCCGCGGGTTCTAATGGCACGCCACCCGTACTGGAAAACGCAACCGTACTGGGAACCGAGGTTCCTGTGTGGGCTGCGTTTTTAGAAGTGCAGGGACTTCTCTGCGTGTCACAGGAGTCCCATTCAAATGAAAGGGCTCTCGTGCCCGTGCAAAACGCGGCCCGCCTATATGTGAACCGGGGATAAATGCTGAATTGCAGCTACCGGTAGCACTTTAAATGCCTGGCAGTACTAGGGTTGTTGGTTCATATCCTAACCACGGCACCACCTGCCTGGAGTTTGCATGTTCTCCCTGTGCCTGCGTGGGTTTCCTCCGGGTACTCCGGTTTCCTCGCACACTCCAAAGACATGCTGGTAGGTTAATTGGATCCTGTCTAAATTGTCCCTAGTATGTGTATGTATGAATGTAAGTTAGGGACCTTAGATTGTACACCCCTTGAGGGTTAGGGACTGATGTGAATGTACAATATATATGTAAAGTGCTGTGTAAATTGATGGCGCTATATAAGTACCTGAAATAAATAATAAATAAGAGGCCCTGGCACTGGAGATTTTCTCAAAAGATAATATGTGCATTTAACATACTCTAGTCATGTTATTTACATATGTAGACATTCCAAATACTCGAGGCTGCTGCTGGGTGCAGGGGCGGACTGACCATTTGGAAACTAGGGCACTGCCCGAGGGCCCGGGGTCAGTAGGGGGCCCCATGAGATGCCCCTGGTACCTTTTTCATAGGCTTTTTTGAGTTTGGGCAAGGACACAGGGGCCCCATGATCCCCTATTGCCCGGGGGCCCCATGAGTTGTCAGTCCGCCCCTGGCTGGGTGCCACCATTTTGGATATCTGCAGAGCCAGAACGGTCACTCAAGTGACATTTTATAGCATTCCCCTTCATCCCTCTCCTGGTTATTACATAGTGCCATTCAGCTCCAATCTGGGAGTGCTGAAGACTTCTCATTCTCAACACAGAGGAACCTTTGAAAGTTTAAACTTTCAGGCCTTAGGATTCCCGACCGATAATGACTATCTACAAATCACGAGACTATTGGCATAATCAGCAAGTTTAAATCGAAGAATAAAATAAGGAATGAGTTGTACTTGATATCGGACATCCAGGGCTCCTCCATACAATATCATTTTTAATAATTAGATTGAAATTAAACTATTAATAATAACCAAAACAGAAATGCAGACAGTGAGAACAGTAATGCTCGCTCATATTGGTGGCCATTGGATAAGTGACCCCTTCACGTTGACAGCTAGTAATCCTTGGATCCTAGTGCACTGGTGCTCAGTGGGACTAATGCTTCTTATATTTAGATAACATTATCATTAGTGCCAATTGTAGCTCATCTTGGAGGCATGAACTGTTAATTACCACCCAAACCGTACTCTCCGCTCCTCGCAAGACCTCCTACTCTCTAGCTCCCTTGTCTCCTCCTCCCAGGATTTCTCAAGCGCTTCACCCATCCTCTGGAACTCCCTACCCCAAGCTATCGCCTACTCTGCTCACTTTTAGGCGCACTCTGAAAACCCATCTCTTCAGGGAAGCCTACCCCAACCCCAGCTAATACTGGAATCCCCTATTCCTCCTACCACTCCATCCCCCACAGCTAATTACCTCTTGTACCACTAGCACCTCCCTCCTAGATTGTAAGCTCCGAGGAGCAGGACCCTATACACCCTCTTGTATTGAACTGTATTGTTACTGTACCCTTCCATAATGTAAAGCGCTGAGCAAACTGTCGGCGCTAAATAAGTCCTGTATAATAATAATTGCTTGAGGAACCCCTAGCTGGAGAAACCTTCGGGATTTACAGAACCCTGGTAGACAAATGCTACTTTAAAGCTTACACAAAGCTCATAAAATGCTTTGCAAATGCTTGTTGGGCACTATAGTCTTCAGACTAGCATTTCGCATGCACCACACAACTAATTTTTAATGGGTTGCAAACATATCACAACACAGCAAAAAGGGACATGACTCTTTTTTCCCCACCAAAAACCAATCACCACAACGCTCACAACATTTGCATTGGCTGTCATTGAATTATATCACCGGGCTTCCATTCAGAATAAACAGCACTGCAATACAAGAATTCTGTAAGAGGTTTAGCTCAGGTTCACAGTGATACGGTGCGGCACATCACATGATTCGCACAGGAACCGCACCGCATTCCTGTGCAAATCACATGCGATTTCTGTGCGGTGCGATTTGAGACATACATTTTGTATGGCTCAGATCACACCACATTCGCACCAAAAAAAGTGCAGGACCCATTTCTTAGTTCACACCAGAATCGGATCGCACGGGTGTTCACACCGATGCGATCCGATTCTGCACATCGCAGAACTGATTTCGGGGTGTCGTTAACTTAAAATAAACACCAGCAGCGGTTCGTATGAATGGGGTGCGATTATAATGCGGTGTGGAAATCGCACAGAAACAAGTGAGAATTCTGCACTGCATCAGTGTGAACCCGGGCTTAGGGTGGTATGCAGCCAGTTCAAGAACTAAGGCTACAGATAGACATCAAGCACCAGGTCTCAAGGTTGTACACAATATCTTGTTACAGTTTTGGTCACCATACGTTAATGTGAAAGTTTGAATGCTTTTGGAAAAAAATAAAAAAATAACAAACACATTTGGAAAAAGGTATGACTGAAATGTCCCATTTAAAATAGCCACATTCGTCACAGCCAAGACCTGTGATTCCACTGTTGCTAGGTGTATATTAAAGCGGAGCTCCACCCAAAAGAGGAAGTTCCGCTTTAATGCTTTGTCCCCAGCTCCCCATTTAAGGATTGGCACCTTTAGGGAGCGGGTACCCGAATTTGACAGGTACCCCTCTTCCACTTCTGCTGCGATCACCTAGGCAACCGGAAGCAGAAGTGGTCCTCCCTCCCCGTAGTCTTCTGGGACATGTGACAGGTCCCAGAAAACTACAAGGCCATTCACAAAGCACAGCGCTTCTCACGCATGCGCAGTGGGCTCCTGGCTGTGAAGCCGCAAACTGTGACATCCGGGTGCCTACACTAAAGATGGCAGCACCAGGGAGAGAAGACGGCCGGTGAACCCAGCAGTGGTGAGGATATCGCTGGACCGAGGGACAGGTAAGTGTATGTATTTTAAAATTCAGCAGCTACAGTTTTTGTAGCTGCTGACTTTTATTTATATATATATTTTAGGTGGAACTCCACTTTAAAGACATTAAATGTCAATTTACTAATCTACAGATCTTTTATTACAGGGTTAAATGTTTTTATTCTGAAATACAAGACATATGATAAACTGTTAAAAGGACGGAATTCCGTTTATTCAGTCTGGCCATCTGCGGCAGCCATCCTCTCTTCAATCATCCTTTCCTTCTGCTTCATTAGGCATTTCCTAGCATTGCCATTGGCTCCGAGGTACTCATCTGTAAACCAATCATATTTAGCGTTACTACAGAAGGCCAGAAGCTGGTGGCATATCAAATGCTTTGCACATTTCAAATACAATGTTAACTGTGTTTTAGCTTCACATATATGACGAGCTGACCAAAAATGTCAAATAGAACCGATTGGGGGGGGGGGGGGGTGTCATCTCTACACTTCAAAACACATTTTTTCAGCTTTCAAGGTCTAGTTTTTCCGTTATGTATGTGAACCTTAACAATGATCTTCTCTTTTTTTTGCTCTTTTAGTTGGATTAGAAGAAGAACTCCAAGATAGGGCAAAAAAAAGCCCAAAAAAACATTAGTACACCCCCCTATACACTAAACAGTTAATAAAAATGTTACAAATTCTTACCATTCAGGGGAAAATTCTATTTTTAGGATCTCATCTCTGTAATGTAAAAGATAAAACAGCATCTTCTCTACCAAGGAGGAGGTGTACCAGCAGGGATTACATCCTATCCTCTTCGCTCTCTGCTATAAAAGGAAACTACAGTTCCCATCAATCACAGGGAATTGTAGTGAATGTGGGCAGGTACACTAGGCCTGTACATGTTGAATGTGACAGAGTCTTGGTACGCCCACCACTACAAGTGGGGCTGAATTTAATCACTGCTTCCTGGAGAAAGAACTACAGAAGGGATGTGCCAAGACCAGTGGCTGGGGCAATAGGAGGCATAGCAGCCACTAGTCTTACACAATGGAAACCAAAGAATTAATGGTTTGAATTGAAAGTTAATAGGCTATTTCACAGCAACTACTGAGTGAACCAGAGAATGGATGACATATTCAGTGAAGGTAAGAAATCAGCAAAGGACATGTAAAAGAAATTTTGTCCGGAGTTCTACTTTAATATATGACTGAAAGGGTTTTGCTATACTTGTTCAAAAAGTAAAAACAAAAAAAAAAAAAAAAAAACACACCCCACACGCTGTTGTGCCTACCATCAAATTTAACTGAACTTGAGTAGTTCTGCAAAGAAGAGTGGGTAAAGTCAGTAGACATATCCCAACAGACTAAAGGCTGTAAAATATGGTTCAACAAAATACTGACACAAGGGGGTGATCCTTTTTCCAACTCAATGATTCGGTTTTTGAATTTTTTTTTTTTCCCCTGACACGTTGGTGTAAATACAGCTGGATAAAACAAAAACGGTGTCTGTCTTCATTTCACGCTGCAAAGCAACAAAATGTGATTTTAAAAAGGCGGGCGATTCTTTCCTATACCCACTGTATTTAATTTATGTTCTTAGGTTTAGATAGCTCCCCCAAATTCATTGCCTACCACAAATAGCTGCTGAGTAAGTAGGTTAACCCCTTGGCACTGGTGCATCCCGGGCCTTTAAGGGTTTCAGAAGCTGGGAGGCCGGGTTTAGGGTCATGTGACTGCCGTGACACGCCATCACGATCGGGAAAGGTCCCGATCGAAAGAGGAGATTGGGGCCTTTCTGTGAGTACTGGACACGTGTGTTGGGAGCGCGCATTCTCAGCACATATGTTTTTTTTAATAGAACGCAAATGTGCGGCTGCTCGGCGTCTAGAGGTTAAGAGCTGTGAGCAAGTTATGATGGTGTCCTAACATGTTTCAGGCACTATGGGTAGGTGGAGGAGCTTAGTCAGCTAACAGGAGTAGTAACGCATAGGGATGGTAATATTAACTACCCAATTAGCTGCCATGAGGTGATGAAGCTTAAAGCACAGCCCCTTCCCCTGGCTACAAAGTGTAACAGCAATGTGTAAAGCAGGCGTTGGCTGAAAATAATTATAGATAGGTTGGTAAATTAATGTAAATACACTGCTCAAAAAAAATTTAAAGGAACACTTTGAAAAACCCATCAGATCTCAATGAGGAGACATCTCCTGCTGGATCTCTATACTGATATGGACGGGGTAATGTGTTAGGAATGTAAGGATGACCCATCGTTTGAATTCAGTCCTCTGTAGGTTGATAATTTTCATTCCATCAAAGACACCCCGAAAATCAAATGAAAAAATTTGCAGCAGGCGAGTCCATTTTGCTGAAATTTCATTGCAGCAACTCAGAATGGTCCTCAGTAGTTTGTATGGCCCCCACGTGCTTGTATGCATGCCTGACAACGTCGGGACTTGTTCCTAATGAGACCACAGATGGTGTCCTCGGGGGTTTCCTCCCAGATCATCACTGAGCTCCTGGACAGTCTGAGGTGCAACCTGGTGACGTCGGATGGACCGAAATATAATATCCCAGAGGTGTTCCATTGGATTTATGTCAGGTGAGCGTTGGGACCATTCAATGGTATCAATTCCTTCATCCTCCAGGAACTGCCTGCATACCTCTCACCACATTAGGCCAGCAATGGTCATGCAGCAAGAGGAACCCAGGAGCCACCAGCGATGAGTAGGGGAAAAAAAAAAAAAAAAAGTGGCCTCCACCTGTAAAACCATTCCTGTTTTGGGGGTCGTCTCATTGTTGCCCATCTAGTGCACCTGTTGTTAATTTCATTAATACCAAAAGCAGCTGAAACTGATTAACAACCCCCTCTGCTACTTACCTGACCAGATCAATATCTCAGGAGTTTCAATGACTTGATGCTATACTCTGATTAAAAAGTGTTCCTTTAATTTTTTTGAGTAGTGTATAAACTTTCCTCCATTTCATTTGCAGTCAGTGCAGACCTCTAGCCCGTACCACGCCATTTGTAGGACACATGAACTAAATAAAAGTAGATACACCCTCAGGGATGTACACCTAAAAAAGGAGAGGAAACCTCAGTTTCCTAGGAGGTCAGACACTGGGAACTGAAGGGGGGGGCTCATATGTAACATAGAATGGATTATCTTTACCCACTCTCTGTTACGCACTGCTGTACTATGCAAACTGGAGGTCATCCCATTCAGAAATATGCTGCAGTGACTGGAGCAAATCTGGTCATGTGACTTTGATAGGATTTTTTTGGGGTTTACTTTTGCACCGCTGCTTTTTAAATGAAGGTTAGGAAGATCTGAGAAAGTAGATGGTGGAGTCATCTAGGACAGCCTCTCTCAACCTTTTCAACAAACGGGAACCCTTAAAAATAAACTCTCCGGTCTCAGGGAACCCCTGCTGAAAATGACTAGATCTACAACTCAAGATACGTCCGTGTGATGGTCGGTGGGAAGAATGCTCCTTATATTTGTGGTCAATGGGAAGAATTACCCCCTTAAGAGAGCTAAAAAGATCAATGATGTCAGTGGGAACGTACCAGAGAGGCAGAAATTGCTCAAGGCACCCCTAGCAACCTTTGGAGGAACCCTAGGAGTCTATGGAACCCTGATCTAGGACAGTACCTTTGCTAGCCAAAAATAGAATGCGTTTCAGTTGTACATTCAGAGGTCTGACTGGTGTTTAACCACTTCATGTCCGGACACTTTCACCCCCTTCCTCTCCACGGCAATTTTCAGCTTTCAGTGCTATCACACTTTGAAAGACAATTGTGCGGTCATGCAACACTGTACCCATATAAATTTTTTTTTTGAGACAGATACAAATTTATTGTGGTGGTATTTATTCACCGCTGTGATTTTTTTTTTTTTTTTGCTATATAAAAATGAAAAAGTCCAAAAATTTAAAAAAAAAAAAAAAAAAAAAAGTGTTTTGCTTATACAATTTAGCAAATAAATAATCCCTCTTCATAAACCTGGACCAAAATTTATTCAATTATCTTTTTAGTAAAAAACAAATAACCAGAAAAAAAAAAAAAAATAACCCAAATTAGTTGATAACCAAAAATTAAACTTTTTCTGATTTTTTTGATTTATTTATATTATATATATATATATATATATATATATATATATATATATATATATATATATATAAAATTTATTATGTTGTTTTTTTTTTAACATACTGTCACCCTAGCAGTACAGTATCACCATAGAAACACTGTACTACTTGTGGGGGGGGATGATGAAGATTTTTTTTTTTTTTTTACACGGATTGCTTTCACAGCCTTTATGGGTGTAAAAGCAATCATTTCTCCTTCTTTCTGGCTGCATTCCTGCAGCCATTGATAAATACTGTGAGAGCTGTGATTGGTAACAGCTTGTCACATGGTACAAGGCTGTTGTGAATAGCCCTGTACCATGTGATCTTTGTGATTATTCACAGATTTCACACATAGTAAGCAATGATGTCAGAAGTGATATCTTGCTTACTACTATTCATGTGATCACTGATTGGCCAATCAGTGATCACATAATTGGGACCTCTCACAGAGGTCCCGTACAACGATTCGTGTTCCACGGATCGAGGTGCTGTGCGCTCCCAGGGAGCAAGCACAAGCAGGGAAGCGGGGAGGAAGTTTATAAACGGCCACCCGCCCCTGCACTGCTCCTGTACAGCTGTTTAGATACATGGGCCGGACGGGAAGTGGTTAAGGGGGGAGTCAAGAACAGAGAACTTACATCTGGATTTAAAACCTCTGGAGACTTGGGCGTACTGCTCCTTCACCTGGGCACAGTTGTAAGTGGCGTTCTCACCCTCTCTCCTGAGGCATGCTGTATACCGTCCTTGAAAAATTTTCTTAATTTCACAATCGACTTTGCTTTAACAAGAAGAAGAAAAAAAATCATGGTTATAAACAACGCTGTTTACTATTAAACATTGAGGCCGCGACACCTGTATGGCGCATTGTAGTGAAAGAGCGTTTTTTTATGCCAGAATTAAAAATGCAGTGTCCGGTGGAGTAATGGGCACCATTTATATACAGCGGCTCTCAAACCTGGGGGGGTGGGGTGGAATATAGCAGGGGGCAGTGGATACTCCCATACCTGTCTCTCAGCACACATCTGAGGCCGGCTATAGACCTAGACAGTGCAAATTTTTTTTCATGCAATGCAACCAAGGGTTCCAAACCATGGGTTTGCATGATTCCCCCATCAACACAGACAGTGTTGACAGGGGAATCCCTCCTGCTGAGCCATTGTTTACTCCCAGCAGGGGCGGGCAGGGAAAGCCGTCCCCCCGGGAGAAGACAGTGATTTTCTGCTAGCGGCTATAGCAGCCACCAGCGATGATCACAAAATGAATCTGGCAGGCTGGTTGTACCAAAGTTGATCAATTATTTTAGTAAATATAAACTGCCAAATACCTTTTCTCATCAGCTGTATATAGCAGACTTGTGACTTCTATCAGTGTCCAGCCGAGCACTGGTAAAAGCTTGGAGGAGGAGTTTTCATTCTCTTACACTGTACTATAAGGGTGCATGACCCTCTGTCTGGACAGCACTGATCACATGCACTCTCCCAAAAAAAAAACCCCACACTTCTCTAGCAATACACACCAAACTGAGCATGTGCAGAGTGCTTCCAGGGCGCTGTACTATCAGCAGATGGATTGGGGAATGTGGAAGAAGGGGAGGGGAAGGGGATACCATGCCAGTGTCAGGTATTTACACTGCTTGCATATAAATAAATACATTTAAAGTGTTACTAAACCCAGACCCCTGCATTTACTATATCCGGTCCCCACAGTACACACAACATGGAAATGCAATTATTTTAGTAAATATAAATTTCTGATCAGCAGTATAAAGCAGTCTTGTGACTTCTATCAGTGTCCAGCTGAGCACTGGTTAATCTTGTAGGAGAAATTTTCATTCTCCTCTGACTGTCCTATGAGGCTGCATAACCCCTGACCTCTGTCTGGACAGTGCTGATTGGCCCTGTGCTGATCACATGCACTCTTCGAGAAAAAAAACAAAACAAAAAACAAACACTCTCTAGCAATACACACTAAACTGAGCTTGTGTAGAGTGACTCCTAGAGCTCTCTATTATCAGCAGATGGACTGGGGACAGTAGAAGAAGGGAAGGATCAGAGAAGACAGGATCAAACATGCTTTCTACACAGAGGATTAACCCCTTAGGTTCCACAGCAAGTATAACAAGCATGATATACTGCATATACACACCGATTTTACTATTGTGGGCAGGGGCAGACTGACCATTTGGAAACTCGGACAGTAAGGGGTCCCATAAGATGCCCCTGGTACCTTTTTCGAGTTTGGGCAAGGACACAGGGTCCCCATGATCCCCTATTGCCCAGGGGCCCCATGAGTTGTCAGTCCACCCCTGATTGTGGGTTTAGGAACACTAACTGTTCAAAAAAAACAAAACAAATCATTAGCATAGCAAGAATTGCACGGTGTATTAAATCATATGTGTCAATATGTAGTAAAGTCAATACGAAAATAAAGTTCGCAAAAAAAAAATCCATAACTGAAAAGTTCGATATGCTGCTGTGTCAGTGAACCGGTGCCTAGTGGTCAATCTGAGTGTAAAGGAGGATTATGGCCTGTAAATGCCTTAGGCAAGAAGGCACCAGTAGTCAGCAATATGGCCGCCACTAGTTTAATACATTTACATACAGGCTGAGCGGTTACAGGACAGGTGGATGGAAAGGTTTGGTTTCCCTTTGAGAATGTCACAGAGGAAGTGATGAAATGCATCCGGGCACAGCCACCCAGAAGTAGCTGATGGATAGCATGTACTAGAGATGCTGAAGTTTATGTACTTTATTGTCATTGCTCAGTCCTCATTGTTACAAGTATAAGGGGTGCCCAGGTGATGAGTCCAGATATCACGAGGAGCTGAATAAGACCCCTTAAAAAGGGAAATGAAAATTCTGGTGCCGAAACTGAAAATTCACTTGGCCGAAAACCGAAATGCGCAGTTTTTAAAAATGAATATATATTTTTTGGAAAAAAATATACCAATTAAAAAAAAAACAAAAAAAAAACAATAAACACCCCAATTTTGTTTGTAAAATATGAAAGAGGATGTTATGGCGAGTAAATAGATACCCAACATGTCACAATTTAAAATTGCGCACGCTCGTGGAATGGCGTGAAACTGCGGAACTTAAAAATCTCCATGGGTGATGCTTTAAAAATTTCTAGTTTAGCAGTGTAAAGTTACAGAGGAGTTCTAGTGCGAGAATTATTGCTCTTGCTCTGACATTCGTGGTGATACAGTGTTTACATATGTGGGCGTGGCCTACGTATGCGTTCACCACTACATGCGAACACGGGGGGGAACTTTAAATTTTTTTTTTTTCTTAAATTCATTTAATGGTTTTTTTGGGGTTTTTTTTTGCACTGTCCCTTTAAAAAAAATGTAATCACTTTTATTCTTATCACAAGAAATGCATGCATCCCTTGTGATAGAAATAATTAGTGACAGGTCCTCTTTATTGAGAGATATGGGGTCAATAAGACGCCACATCTCTCCTCTGCAATGTAAAGCACTGGATCGAAAAAAAAAAAAAAAAAAAAAAAAAAAATGGCCAGAACGGGAAGTGACATCGCTCCAGTCCTCCAAGGCCATAGAGATGAGTGGCGGCCATCTTTCCTTCACTCATCTCTATGCTCAGCTTGGGAATCGATGGTTTGTCAGTTAAGCCTGAGAACTACCAAGCGGCAGCTGGTGGCGGCAGCGAGGGGTGGGCTTTTTTTTCGGCACCTGTATTGGTGCCTTTTTTCATTTCGGCCAACGGCTGAAAGGGTGTTGTTTTCGGCCGAAATGTTTTGACCATCAAAATGTCGGTGCATCCCTAGAAAGCGCATGGTGACCTATGGCTGTAAGTAGGTCAATATATTGAGGTGAGCGCATATTGTGAATGGTGGTGGAACTCACTGAGGAACATTCACAACAAGGAGTGTGGAAAGATACAATACAAAGTAAAAGTCAAGACATTGTTATGTTACATTTCTTGCAGCAGGGTAATGGTGGTGGAACTCACTGAAGAAGACGTATTTATTTTGTATACGACAGAGCAGCATATTGAACGGTTTTGATTTCCGGATTTTCATACTGACTTGATTTAAATACACCGTGCAGATGTTGATATTCTAATGATTTAGGTTTTTTAACTTTTATTTTTTTTAGGGCCATGAACTAGAAGTGTAGAGGCCCTCCAAAGCGCTAATATGTATTTTTGATGCCTAGAAAAGCCAGGAAATCTTAGAGGGAGGCAAAGAATGTTGAATTCCATCTGAAATTTTTGGCCTCACATAATATTCGTTCAGATCCAAGATGGGACAAATACCCCCTTTCGGGCTGAGAACAATGCATGTAGTAAACAGCATGTAGTAAAATCCCTGGTCCGGAGCGGTCTCTGGAACACTGCACATGCTAGAGTTGGCCTTGGTGCGTGCACAGTACAGCAAGATGGCGGCGCATGCGTTCCAGGGTCTATGCATGTGCAGTGCGGTGGCGGTGATGTCACAGCTTTGGCGGTAAATTTAAACAGCTGTTTTTTGTTTTTTTTTTGCTGCATGGTTTTCTTCGCAGCTGACCCGGCATGGATGCATCACTGACCAGCCACTGCGCAGTAAGTACAGATGGATGGCTTTAGCTCCTTGATCCCCCACTGGTGCTTTCCTGTGGCATTTAACTATCCTTCGTTCTGTGTCTTTTATTTTTTGTTTTTCTCTCTTTTAGCCCTTCTAGGTCTGATTGCCGCTATACAGCACGAGGACGGAAGTGCGTCCAGGTCTCGGACCCATCATTTGTCCTCTAAATCCGGACACCACAGGTCTCATTTCAGCTCCAGATGTCATCGGAGAAGCTCTCGCTCCCCCTCCAGGCATCATGGAGGGGCACTTTAGCCACTCCCATAAGAAAACTTGCTGGGGGTGTGATTCTCAGGATCCTAACGACGATCATTATGCGACTCCTGTTTTGCAACCAGCGAGAGAGAAAGTGCCAACCAACAGGTAGAGGCTTTGGTTAGATGCGTTGTTTAAGAGTCCCTGAAAGAAATTTGGACTAGTCGCACCCACAGCCCATCAGTTGGGGTGTGCTCCCCTCTCAAAGATCCCCAAGAGGGATTGGAGCCTTCACAACTTAGCCATCTTTCAGACAGAGCCTCAGACAGCGGAAAGGAGAGTGAAGATCTGTGTGTGGGCTTCGATTTCGCCTTTGTCTCTTCCCTAATCAAAGAGGCCCTGAAGAAGTGGGAAGAAGCCGTGGAGTCTCCCCCTAAACACAGGAAATTCTTTAAACATCCAAGGAAGGATCGTCCAAACTGTTCACCGAGGAGTGGAGCAATGTCGATAAGAGGGCCTTCTTGCTGAATAAAGCAGCCAAGCTTTATCTGTTCAAGTCAGAGGATGTCAAACATCTAGAATCGGCCCCTCTGATGGATGTAGCCTTGAGACTAGCCAAGCGCATTGCCCTCCCTCTCGAAGATTCAGTGTCCTTCAAGGACAACCTGGAAAGGAGAATCGATTCCGAACTCAAGCAAATCTACACTACAGCTGGGATGGCTTGCAAGCTGGCGCTTGCCTTAATGGCCTTGTCTAAAGCTGTCTAATGGAAGTGTGGTCGGATAACATGGATGCAGCCCTCAGAGGAGTTCTGGAAGAGTTGGCCTGGAATTTGGGAGCTGCCTTTCTGGGGAAGACCTCGATCGACCTTACCCGTCTGCTGGCTCGGGTTATGCTGTCCTCGGGGACAACCAAGTGTGCATTGTGGCTTCGGCCCTGGTTGGCTGATCCAGCCTCTACGCAGGCATTGTGCAAGATCCTCTTTGAGGGTTCCGC